TTGTTCCCTGAATCCGACCTTAAAAATTGCACGACCTCCGCCGGGTTTGAACCCGCGTAACTTGAGTCAATAGGTGGGAGAGGACTATAGATAGTCTGTTGCGTGTAAAATCTCCTGGAAAGGCACGGACCTCTGAAGAGTATGTCAATCGCGTTAGAGAGGCATTCCAGTGAAGTCCGTGCAAACAACTTCATGTTACTAACTTGCAATTACTTACAAATTCCTCGTTCAACAGTGCTCGATTTGCTACACAAAAGACTCCACCTAACGACGTACAAGATTAAAATGATTCATGTACTAAAGCCGAGTGTCCAAATAGCACGCACAAATTTTGCTGTGGACAGACAATGAGTAGAAAGATTTGATGCGTGACCCGATTTCCTACCCCAAGTCCGTTTCTCGGACGAGACGACATTCCATATCCGTGGAGTTGTAAACAGGTGCAACTGCAGGAATTGGGCAGTCAATGTTCATATGTCACATGTGAGTTGGAGAGAGACAGTCCCAAAGTGAACGTTTGAGCCGGCTTAATGCACGACAAATGGATTTGGCCGTTTTTCTTTTCGGAAAAAGTCTTTGACCAGAGGTTCGTATTTTGAAATGCTGAAGTTGTATGCACTGCTCCTATTACCAACTCAAAGTATCTTCAAACATTATGGGGCTCCGTAAAATTTCTGCCATCTTGTTAGGTATCACCTGGGCAGAGAAATGGCTGGGTGATAGATCGGCAGACGTGGAATAATAGCTGGGCACCTAGATCGCCAAATTTGGATTGTTCCTTGTGAGGTTATATGAAGAACAGTGTCCACCAGGTTAAGATAAACGACCTTCAACACCTGAAATCCCGCATAAGGGGCATAAGAGTGATCATATACAGTATATACATAATACATAGATCAACCCTTCTTGATCTCGGCATTAATTGAACGTGAATAACCTAGAATTATGTACGCCTGGAAATGATTTCCTCTTCTTGTGGTAGGAAATAATAAAAAATAAAAATATTATATGATTCATTAAATTAGAAATCTGTGAAAATAAGAGGAATTTCATTATTTACCTTCACAGATCGGAAAACAATTAAACATATAAGTAAATCAATCCACGTAACAGGCCGTGCAGACTCATAGGTTTTTGAGAAGTCAACGTTTCCACATTTTCTAGACAATCGGTATCAGATAGGCTTTGAGGTGCCCGGCTTTAAGCTCCGGCCTTCTTTCGCTCCCCAGGAAGATATGCAATACTCGGTTCTTTTTGAGAGTGGGTAGAACCTAGGCCCATAATAAGAATGGAAGGAGTATGTCAACTGGAAAATCCAATTACCTCATTAGGAATCGAGACCGCAACCTTCCGGATTGTATCCTAGAGACTCCACTAACTACGCTACCTCGGCCCTCGACAATTGAAAGTACAGCAGCGATTGTGTAGAGAGGGAGACAGATGTGAGATGTGACTGGGGAATTTTCTTAGTGACTGAATATGAAATTGTACTTGTACTGCTTACGAATGGAACATCGCATTCAACTCTGAGAGCTAACAAACGATTTCTTCAGTCAAAGTAAAAGAGAGATTAAATTATAATATTCAGACCGTATACGTATCTAAACCTATAAGAATTGTAGAAACAGAGTCGAATATTGTGCATATATATATATATATATATATATTACTTCAACATTCTTTAGTCAATATTAACTGTACATCTGTTAACTTGTCGCTACTTACCGTACAGTGTGTTACATGTCGCCAACACGGAAATACCAAGCGAACAGCCGTGTCTTCAATGTGGAGTTTGTGTACCATGTTTCAAAGACGCCCTCAAATCTTCAAATCTTACCAAACACACGCGTGTAGTTTGCAGGCGGAACAGTCAGGACTCCTGTAACTGAGAGACAGATGCTGACCAGAGAATATTGTAATAACGTTTGTGTCTCAAGTTAACTCTAACACACGAGGTTACAGTTTCAAGTATTAAGACTTTTCTTATTAATTTCATTTCTGTCATTCTCACAGCTTCCTGTGACGTGGGCAACACTTCCACGTTTATTTAAATTCACTTCAGAGCAGCTGAGAGAACCAGAGAGAGAGAGTGTTAGAATTGTTGCCATGGAGAATGAGACAAGGATTTGTGATGATGGAGTGGAAAAATGCATAAAATTCGGCCACGACCTTTTCATTTCGCATCGTTCTTCATTCATATTTCACCACTGCCACTGTTACTTAACGCTATACAAATGTGGCACTAAGGCAGTTGCGTCTTACATAAACAATTGAAATGATTTTTATCTGTACGTTATTGTCTCTGCAATACGCATCTTTAACTCAGGACGGTGAACAAAAGGATACATGCCCTTTTGCCACGAATATTGACGTTAAATTTATGCACTTCATCCACCCCTGAGCTAGCTACAAACGTCTTATTTTGTAGCAATATTTCCTTTCAAGACCAAACCCTCGATTTACGGTTCTTACGATACCATTATGTAAACTAAATCATATGTAATGAAAAGATCATATCTAACCAAAATACGCAATTCAGACTTCTTGCAACGTGAAAATTTGAAGGAAAATGAATATAAAAAAGATAATATTCACTGCTATAAAGGCGATATACTTGCGAGATATAAACTGTAAATATGTACGTACATCTATCTAAGTGAACCTCCTGGAAGGTACAAGTAATAATTTATATGAAATTCACGTTTCTCAGTACAGAAAATTTGTATCAATTGTAGGCATCACAGTCTTCGTACAATCGTGATACGTCACTATAAAATGGATTTCATTCTTTTTCTGTGACAGGAAGAAGATATGTTCAGTAAATAGCCTCCAAGAAATATAACATGTTACTTCTATTATATATTTGGAATATAGTAATATGACAGAAACGTGTAGCAATTTTATATGATTATGAAGAAATTGTCTTTGCTCTAAGATCCACTATAAACTGAAAACATTATTTGGACTTCTAGTTTCTTCTTTAGAAAGGAAACCAGTTCCCACTTTTCGTTGTGTCTGCACAAAGTTTGCGGTTATCTCACCGAAATACTGTTGTGTGGGTCCTTATATGCTGTGTTGATAGTAAGGAAACAAAGAAGTTCTTGTAAATCTAGTGTAGAACTACTATCGGACTCTTTCGCAATATAACAATAACGAGCAAGTAAAACTGATAAATCTGAATTATTTCCACAACAATATCAGCTTACGTACAGAAGAATGACTTCAACCGTATTAATGGAGTAATCCAAAATATTACTGCAAATTTTCGTGACACTATTAAACCACCGATTGAATTATAAGACTGATTCGCTCATATTTTCGTCGAAACTACTCAAATAATAGAAAGAATTACCCAAGGAATCTTTTGAATAAGGTGAATATTTATAAAGCAGAATAAAATTCGACTGACTGGTGAACTTTTCATAAAGGATATTGTGTAATAGTGCAGTGAATACCAAACAGGTGGTTTCAGAGGAAAGTATTGGGTGATTTATCTGATTTCACGAAACAAGTCTAAATGTTTTCCGAGTAGATGTTATAACAATCGATTTCATTTTATTGAACGAGTCGACGTTAACACATTATCGAGTTGCGTGTGTAGGACAAGGAACGACGTACTCATATATTATTACGCTGAAATTTTTTATTGATTTCTTTGTTTTGCTGTTTAATTAGCCAGATAAACAAAAGCAAAATAATGTGGACACTGTAACGAAATAACCAACATATAAATATTTGAGAATTATAAGACAAAATGTTTATGATACTCTTAACTCTCACATGCGTCACAGGGGCCCGAGCAGATGTATCCACTGATGTACAGGAATGGCATTTAGTGCGCTGCTTGAAGTCTATCAGCCAGCGGTACTTTTCTACGGGAGAAACTCTGACAATATCTCTGCATGAAAAAGCTCTTCACACTTCTGGAAGGAGGTCTGAAAACTTCACCAATTTTGGCCGTGTATATATTGATGTTGTCGAGTATATTTCTGAAGAAATGCATCGGTCGGAAGCGAGAAGTGTTGTAATCTCGAATGTATTCACAGACTACGACCCTACTGAGTGGAATTCAAACCACAAACCCGAAAGTTATCTGTTGCTTACACCAAGCTCTTGTAATCACGAGTCTGACATTGTGCAGAGTGTCAGGTCTCAGCTGAAACGACTCTCCTCTTATCCCGAATGGAACGCACGAGCTCGGTTTGTTGTTACTGTGCTGAACATCTCTTTCAAGTACAATGCTGAGGAAGTGTCACAGAGGATTCTAGTAGAACTGTGGAAACGAAAAATTCACAATGCCATTGTTCTGATCCCTCTAACAAACACCTCACAATCTCAAGATGCTACGGGCACCAGAAGGAGACCTGATGGCCACATAATGGAGGTTCCAGCACTCGGAATATATACGTGGTTCCCATATCGGGTTCCAAATCGGTGTTCCGTGGTGGATGAAGCAGTTCTTCTTGATGTGTGGATAATGGAAGGAGAAGGAAATTTTGTTAGAAATTTATTCTTTTTTCCAAAAAAGAAAATCGACAATTTTCATGGGTGTGAATTGAGAGTAGCAACTAAGTTAAAATATTATCGAGAGGAAAATACAATACAAAATTCTGGAAATTACACAGATCATACATTCGACGAACATTTCGAAATTAGTTTTTTAAAACGTATAACAAGAACTATGAATTTTACGCTGATATTCTTACCACAAAAAAAAAATTTCCGAAAAGTGCAAGATGAGTCCGGAAAGTATATTGGGTACACAGGTCTCTTGATGAACGACAAAGCTGACATAGCTGTGGGAGGAATCATTAGGACAGAGATACTGACAAACTTAGTGGATGTAACCAAAAGTTACTGGAAAATTAGATGGCAGTGGTACGTGCCCTGTCCTGTGAAATTTCCAGGATGGCAAAGTATATTTAGAATTTTCTCTCTATCAGGATGGTTATGCGTTTTTTTGGCGGCAATGCTTGCTCACATTGTCATCGTGTTCTTAGCGAGGTCCCGGATCCAGGAGAATGAATCTTTCAAACGTTTCGTGGATGCAGTCCTAGACGTCTGGGCGCTCATCTTGGGAGTGTCTATATTGTCGTTGCCCCGTACAACCCCTCTACGTCTGTTCTTCTCAGCCTGGGTGTGCTACAGCTTGGCAATCAACACAGTGTTCCAGGCTTACCTCACTACGTACCTGGTTGATCCAGGGTTCGAGAAATCAATTACAAGCATAGAAGAACTTTTTGCTTCTGGAACTAAATACGGATTTTTTTCCACCTACTTTGACCGTAATTTTAACGATAAAGCCAACTCCAAAGATGTGGAAATTCTCCGAAATCGGATAGACTGTGATGATATGGTGACCTGCTTACTTTGGACTGCGAAGTACCGAAACATTTCGTCAATCGGCAACCCAGAATTGGTGGAATATTTGTATTACGGTTCTAAATACTCTGATAAGTTTAGCGGCTATCGGCCTTGTGAGTTGAAAGAGATGCCAGTTGTAGTTACAGACTTACTTATGGCCGTGCAGAAAGGAAGCATTTTTTTGGACCGCATGAATGAAATCATTTGCAGACTTGTAGAAGCTGGCATTTCAACTTACTTGGTGAAGACCAGCCCAGAAGCGAGAAAATACTTCAAAGCAATCTCTAGTGCTTCTAAGACACTAGCCGATGAGTATCATGCTTTAACTATGAACAATATGCAGTCTGCATTCTACCTGCTTCTCCTCGGACACAGTCTGGGTCTCATATCCTTCCTAATGGAGATGCTGTATTTTAAAATGCACCCTAGGAGGCCATAGCTTCAGATTTGCCAAATTATGAGCAACTGTAATGTAGTGTGTTCCCTCATCTTCTGAATTTTCAGTGTAATTTGTATTATTTATTTCGCCTGTAAATTAAAATATTGTAAATTTTCATTCCTCGTGGTTTCTGTTAGATGCTTCCGCAGTATGTCTGCATTAGAGCATTAACATTACTTATATCTGTTTCTATTCACATTCCCCCCAACCATAATTTATGATCATTCAAATATATCTTATTTTAATTGATATTGTCAGTCTATGTAATACATTGTCTTTAACCTAAAAAGAATAAAAAACTCGTATAAAACTTGCCCGAAATTCTTGTGACAATATGAACATAAGTTTCACTTAACCATTCACATTACAGAAGAGAAAAAATCAGTCCGCCACATGAAGGATAGGAGTCGAGCTTTATGTTTTCATATTTCTACTGTTGACTTTGACGTCTTTCCAAGATCACCTGAGTATATCCACTGTACACCTCAAAAACTCAGCTCGAAATCACAAGGAAATTTTCCGCTTTCCCTCTCAAGATACTGGCACATCAATTTGTCGCTACTAAAGACGTAACATTTTCCAAATCTGTGACACATTCATAACGATAACCATAGAATTCCCCATAATAAATTATGACACAACTTGGTCGGTATATACTTTGGCGGTCTTAGCCACAAAACTCACCTGACACTATTAAGAGCTTGTGACTGTGCTCCAACGTGTAGAAAGCGAATATATTTGTTGGAAACCTCCGTCAATTCCTCTCGAAAGTAAAATATATCTGTGTTTCAAATGTTTTCGTAACGATTCATATTTCTTATTTATAGATTTATATTAGGCCCAAGTGTAAACAAACGTCAAATTGAATCAGTTCCTCAATAATCAATATCTTTTAAAAATCCCTTTAAATCCTGTCTGAATATCTTCTGAAATAATACCAATAATAATGCTAATACCAAGCTGAAGATCTGACAAGATATTTAATTATGATAAATATATTTTAATTGTTGTACAAAATTCATTACAAAAATTACTTAAAACCATATTACTAATTTTAAATGCTGGCAGTAAGCTCAGTTTGCACAACATTTCACAATTAAAAGAGAAATACTATCACAATGAACACAATTTTTCTAAGGCAGATGATATCTTAACACCTAATGCTGTCAAACTGAACTGAGAGCATTAATGTAAGCAAGCGTACATTACAGCGAACGGTCTTGTAAAATGTATGCCACGTGTATTAGTGACTTGTACACTGGGTTTATATTAGTGAATCGATTTGTTTGATATTCACAAGACGCAATTATAACTAATTATAACACTCTCATGATTACTGTAATTATAGCACACATAATAATATCTTCTACATTCGAAATATTAGTCGATGCAAAGAAACAGATTTCAACACTGTGTAAGCCTTGACAGTGTCTTTATTATCCATTTTCTGTTAACGCATTTTACACAGAAACTACACGTATAAAAGACTCAATCACACCCACTCCAAATATCTCTGTGCTAGAGCAAGCATAACGACTTCAAATCACACGTTACATCTTCACGGGCCGACTTCTGGTTCTTCTTCAACTACGAAATTCCCTTGGCTATCTCTTACGGACACCTGCACTGAGCTCCACTATCTACAAGCGGACTCGCTTTATATGGGCAACTCACGGACAAACGCAGAGAAAACACAGCTTCCTCTGTTGTTGGGTGACGCTTCTATAGGAGTTACCAGATGATCGCTACTCAGCCAGTTCATTAGAGTGCTGGCTGCTGCCTAGCAATGGTCCCGGTACGAACATTCAGAAAACACAACACGTGACCGCTACCCAAATCNGACTTCAAATCACACGTTACATCTTCACGGGCCGACTTCTGGTTCTTCTTCAACTACGAAATTCCCTTGGCTATCTCTTACGGACACCTGCACTGAGCTCCACTATCTACAAGCGGACTCGCTTTATATGGGCAACTCACGGACAAACGCAGAGAAAACACAGCTTCCTCTGTTGTTGGGTGACGCTTCTATAGGAGTTACCAGATGATCGCTACTCAGCCAGTTCATTAGAGTGCTGGCTGCTGCCTAGCAATGGTCCCGGTACGAACATTCAGAAAACACAACACGTGACCGCTACCCAAATCTGTGCGACGTCAGGTCCGACCCCGATTAGCTTATCGGTGCACCGCCTTCCTTCCTCTGAGGGCTGCGTTTGGTTTCATCCCACCTACATTTTTTCTCTTTCTTTGTCTTGGGCGACTGTCTGTAACAGCTACCACTACTCCCTCCTTAAGACTGTTCGTCCCGAGCTGCTCACTACTAAGGCACCATTAGATCCAGTTGTATCTTAATCATACATAATTTGTTCTTGGTTTTTCAATAGGTGGGGGCGAAATAACGTAGTGGAGCCGGTACTCCCATATTTTCGTCTCTTCTTACTCTAACGTTGCCAGTTAGGTTTCCCTTCAGTTTGTGGGGGGGGGGAACTATCCTTCCAGAACGTTCCATTTCTGAATTCCAGCTCCAGAAGAGGTTAGTCTCTCCACACGCTCCCGGCTCTCAAACTCCGCAAATCGCAAAGTCGTAAAATTACATTCAGAATGGTGTAAGTCCAAACAGCGCTTTCTTCCAACAAAGTTTAATCGTCTTTTGTCAATTCATATATTATAATATAATATAAAAATGTCTGCCAAAGAGAGTCTAGGTAATTATGAACCGAGGATGCATAAGACATGTTTCGATGAAGGATTATCAAAATTATCAGACAAAAGAAAACAAGTCATATTACGGCGGTTACAGGATCCAAGCGAAATAATTGGGGATAATTTGAACAATAAGAGGCGCGAAAGCAGCAGGCATTTCAGGAAGAGTAAGAGGGAATATCTGAAAGACAAAATTGATGAGTTTGTAACGAACAGTCAGAACAAGAACATTAAGAGGTGTATAGAGGAAAAAAATAATTTTGAAAGGGGGCTTCAACCTGGAAATACAGTAACTTATTGAAGAATGAGTTTGGTGAACTGCTTGCAGATTCACACAACATTCTGAATAGAACTATTTCTCTCAGTTTTTGAATGTATATAGTGTCAGTGATGACAGACAGATAGAATACATATAGCTGAGCCATTAGTAACTGATCCTAGCCCTTTTGAGTTTGAAAATGCTATTGCAAAATTGAAACGGTATAAATCGCCAGGAAGTGATCAGATTCCAGCAGAACATATTCAAGCAGGAGGTGAAATATTACGTTCTAAGATCCACCACCTAATTACTTCTATTTGGCAAGAGGAAAGTTTCCAGATCAATGGAAGGAGTCTCTTATTGTACCAGTTCACAAGAAGGGTGATAAACCTGGCTGAAGCAATTTTCGATGGATATCACTGCAATCACCTTCATACATAATTTTTTCAAATATGGTTCTCTCAAGGTTAAGTCCATATATAGATGAAATAATTGATGATCATCAGTATGGATTTCGATGTAACAGATCAACAACGTAACAGAACTTTTGCACTCTTTAGATATTAGAGAAAAAATGGGAGTACAATGAGATAGTACATCAGGTATTTGTAGACTTCAAGGAAGCCTATGATTCAGTAAGAAGGGAAGTATTTAACAATGTTCTGATAGATTTTGGGATATCCTTGAAACTAGTTAGGTTGATTAAAATGTGTTTAAACGAAAATTATAGTAAAGTCCGCATTGGCAAACATTTGTCCCATAAATTTCCTATCCAGAATGATCTAAATCAAGGAGATGCTTTATCGCAGTTCCTTTCAACTTTGCTTTAGGATATGCCATTAGGAAGGTTCAGGAAAACCAGGTGGGACTGAAATTAAACGGGATACATCAGCTGTTGGTCTATGCTGATGATGTGAATCTGCTGGGTGATAATGTAGATATCATAAAGAAAAACACACAAACTTTAATTGACACTAGTAAGGAGGTTGGTCTAGAAGTAAACACAGAGAAAACTAAGTACATGTTGCCCGCGCCATAGCTCACGCGGTTAGTAACTGGCTTACCAACGCGGCGGCCCCGTTTGGATCCCGGGTATGGTCAAGTAGGATTTGTGGTGGAAAAAGTGGCGCTATGACAGGTTTTCTCCGAGTATTTCGGTCTCCCCTGACAATCTTCAATCCACCAACTACTTCACAATCACCCTCACCTATGATCTGGGGCTGGTACAATAGGACAGAAGTGGCCGCAGTGCCAAGTGGACTCAGTCCCACCCCACCAAGCAATAAAAAAATATACGTTGCTGTCTCGTCACCAAAATACAGGGCAAAATCATGAAATAACGATAGGAAACAAATGTTTTGAAAATGTTACACACTTCAGATATTTGGCAACGACGATAACAGATCAAATCCTGATTGAGGAGGAAATTAAACGGAGATTGAATTCGGGTAATGCTTGCTACCATACGGCCCAGAACCTTTTGTCTTCTCGTCTGTTGTCCAAAAACATCAAAAGTAGAATATACGTGTAAAAAACTCGCATTTTTCCTGTGATTCTGTATGGGTGCGAAACTTGGTCTCTGCCATTAAGGAAGGAAAATATACAGAATGATCAAGTCAAGAGGGATGAGATAGGCAGAGCATGTAGCATGACTGGGGTAGAGGAGAAATGCATGTAGGATATTGGTGGGAAAGCCAAAAGGAAGGGGACCACTTGGAACACCAAGGAGTACTTGGATGGACAATATTAAGATGGATCTGAGAGAGGTAGGATGGGATGGTATGAATTGGATTGATCTGGCTTCGAATAGGGACATCTAGAGGGCACTTGTGAACACGGTAATGAACCTTCGGATTCCATAAAATTCTGTGAAGGGCTCAACTCCATGAGTCGGTAAGTGAGTGATTTATATACAAAAAATGTAGGACTCTCATATTTCTCCATGAACAAAGCCAACAATCTAATTTCACCTCTTGTTGTGTGTGAGTCTGGAACTTCTTTCCACGTCCAAGGGGATGAATATTTGTTGAGTTTGAGA